ATATATATATATATATATATATATATATATATTTCAACAAGTGTGTGATCGGAACTAATGATGAGCTTACATCGGAATGTACATTAGTAGTCGCTCGTTAGTAGTTAGTTGTACTGCAAGTAAGCAAGTGACTAATCCTTTATACGTATACAATTAAGTATATGAGTACCGAATAACTTTGCTTAATTAATTAATCTGCTAATTGATTCTGCCACTTATCGCAATCGCGCTGTTAGCACTGAGTCTTATTTCTCTTTTTCTCTCTTTTTTCTCTAGAATTCAGCGGTGAGTAAACGTAAGGGAAAAAAAGATGACCTTTCAGGGATCAACCGGCCGAGAAGAATCAATTTCTTGACGGAACTAAGCTTTCCCCAGATTGACTTTCATCAGTTTCTCAGACAGCCCTCCTCTCGCCGGTTCCGAAAGGACCGACGAATTTGAAATTCGACGTCGCTGATAGACGCACGTTCGTGCGAATTCACGCTCGCGTTTCTCTCCAAGTCCGTCCGTCCGCAATTTTACCGGATTCACGTGCTAAGAAAGGAAGAAGAATATATATTTTATCTTAATATTAGTTCTTCGTGTTCGTTCTAAACCTCCGCAATTTGCTCTTCGTCTTTGGAGAAATTAAAAAATAATAAAATGAAACTCCACGAAAACGTTAAATCTCGTACAAACGTAAAGTTCTGCGGTTCCATCAAAATCTATGACTAATTTTCGGTCTCGTTTAGATAGACCTTGAGCCGCTAATGATCCACTTAGGTACTCTAGAAGGATAACTTGTACCCTTGACACCTCAGGACAATGATAAAGCGATGATAAAGGGGTAGAGAGATACAAGCTACGTCGCAGTTGTAATCGCAGCGGGTACAAATGCTGGAAAATGAGGGGTCTGATAACATACATAGCACGACATACGGTTCCGTACAACGAACGCTTATCAGAAACCGGTGTAACGAAGAGTCCAATGATTCACAGCGACTTTAGTAGCCATAATACTTTATTATAGCGTGCACACACGAAATATCTCTCGACAAAGCTTCAGGAAGATCCAGTCGAAAGTCAAAATGTGGAATATTTCATTGTTTCGTCGTCGGTCGAATAATTTTTTTTTTAATTACTTCGATTAAATTATTCGCGAGTTCTTTATTCTGCTTGTACAATTGGCGTTCTTCGGACCTCTCGTCTGACAAGTGTATACAAAGACATATATAACTACTTATCATCGCGCGGCTTCGATCGGCTCGTCTCATTAGCCGAGATAATTAAGTCAATTTAAAGTTGCTGTCTCGTGTACTCCTTTCTCTCGGATAGCCGTCAATCAATCGCCTTATCAATTGCTCCCTCGCGCAGCCAACGAAACTAACTCATTCTGTCTTCTTTCCTCACGAACACATCGGCGGCTCGGCGTCGAAACGGTTCAACCGCGAGAAACCGCAACTTTCTTATTCTAAAGAAAAAGAAGCGACAAGGGGAAAAAATAAGAAGCAATGGAGAGAAAATTTCAGAGTTTAAGCTTTCCGATTAAGAAATTTCTCGATAAATTTTTTAACTCGAGTGCTTGACACGCAACTCTCTCCTAGATTTCCTATTAAATCCTCTCCTGTGCAAAAAATGTGAGATCTCTCTTCTCGAGACACGAAATTCGAGCGTCGAAATTCCGATTTCCGATTGTGTCCGATATTTAATTGGTGCTATCGCGACACCGCGCGTCAAGTATTCTCGGTGATAAAACAAATATAATTGCAGACAATGAATCACAGAGCAACAAAGGATCGTTGGATCCCAGAAAGATAGAGAGAACTAAAGAGAAAGAGAGACAAGCAAACGCATATCGTCTTGACGAACTCGCGATCGTTTATGAATTATTTATCGATCGTTTGAAACGTGTCGTAGTGTCTTTACCCGAATCGCTCGGGTAAATTTGCGTGCTAAAGGAGGGCACAAATTGCAGGAAAATTTAATTGGATGACTTGGCGAGAATCTAGTAAAATATAGTCCAGTAAAGCTTGGCGTTGCTAAAACCTGGGCCAAAATTTTTGCATGTAAAAGCGAAACAAAAGATTCCGAACGAGGCGATGAAATCGCATCTGTGCTCTTCGGCGAAAAGAAAGCGGAAGGTCGAGTGCGGAAAACGCGAATTTTACGTTTGCCGTGACATCGACAAGCGTTATAAGGTGCTTTTCTGCACACTACTATCGTTATACGGCCACTTTTCTTTCCTCTATACATATTATTCCGCTTCGATTCGCGAAGGGCCATCTTTCCTTCCCTCTCGTTCTCCCGCGAAAAGTCGCAAACGAGGTGACGCGGCGTTTCGCGTCATGTGTTTCGCGAACGTACACGATAATCCAGTCGCGCCTTTCCAGTGAGGAAACACGTCGGCGAGTGTTCGAGTGTCCATATAAGAAATGTAAAGAGTTAGATAAAGGAATGTAAAGAGTTAGATAAAGATTAAATATAGAAATTGCGTCATAAGAACGGCTTGATCAATTTAGTCTGCAAACAATAAGGCGAAGTGGAAGAACCGAGGCGAATCGAAGCTCACAGTAATATATATATCTCGCTATCCGGTTCTCGCTGGAGAATACAGCGGTGATTTCTTTCGCTTTTGAGCTTTTAGAAAAAGAGGTAAAGACGATGAGATATATATTTTTGCCCCCTGAAGATTGGGTAAATTTTAGACTGCGCGGCGCAGAGATAAAGTCTCCGAAACAACAGGGGCAATAATAACGGCAACACGAGAGAGTGTTTCTTCGAGGAGTTCCTGGCGAACTCGTATCTTGACGATAGCGCTTCGTCCGCGTCATCTGCTCGCGCGAGCAGGAAATTGCGAGACGAGGGTAAACTTCTCGCTTCTCGCGCGGAAAAGTTTGTCACGGCCAACTGCGAGGGCGGCACCAAGAAATGATCACAGAACCAAGAAATGATCGCCTGACCGAAAGAATCCCACCGTCGACTCCTACACTCCTTCTCGCCCCGTCGACGATCCCTAAATCGGTCGGTCGGTCGGTCCTTTTAAAGGTCGCTCGCGGCATAATTAATTACCGAGAAGAGCTTGCGTTGACAACCGTCGTCAACGTCCTAGTCTTATAAATAGCGGATATTATATTTTGAGAAACGATTTTATAAATGTGGATTCAAGGATACCGTTTTTTCCTATTTCCTCTCTGGAGGATACGATTGGAAAATGAACTCTTCGATTGTGAAACGAATCGCGAATAAACATGAAAGAAAAATAAATTTCTGAAAGAAAAATAGAGGACGCGAAAAATTCGTGCGCGGTCGTAGCGTACACGGTGCGCACTCTTTCTCTCATTCTCCTGTCCGAGCGAACGCGTGGATCGCTACAGTAGATCTCGCAGTTCCGCGCCTGTTCGTCTTAATATCCGTGCCGTCGTGGGTGGACGAGATAAAGCTTAATCAAGAAGGAGGCGCGCGCGCGACGGCCTTATCCGTCGCAAAGCGAGACACATTGCGGTCGCTCGCTCGACACCGACGATACGTGCGTCGCATAATGCCAATCATGCGAATATCGCACCACCGACCGTCGCCTCTGTCGAGTGATGATACTCGTAAATTCACCCGACAACTTTGTTCGTCTACGGAACCCCTCTCGGCGGTGCTGGTGGTGGTGGTCCTCGCGAGAATCTCGCATATCGTGGGACAGAAAAAAAGACCGATTCTCGCAAGCCGCACGCAAATGGGGGGAGCTATCGTTTTCCTCTATCTTCGCTCAGAACAGATGCTGCAGCCAACTCTCGATATTCCAGTCTCTCGAGGAATTGAAGAGCTTCGAAAGCTCTCTCGAGACACAAATCGACGCTTATTCGTTGTTACGAATAAACGAACGAGCGAGGAGACGTGGAAAAACACGAAAATGTACGGATGGTAAATTGAACGAGCGACCTTTGGTCGCTTCCTTCGCTATAAAGAGAGTAATTAGCGAGCGACTATAATCACCGTCTGTTCAAACAATAAATGCTGAGTCAGAAGCTAAAATGGCCGAAAATATATCTCAAGCACTAGTGTAAGAAGTGGCGTCCCTAATTAACAAGCCACCGTGAGCAAACGCGAAAAAAAAGCAACGAAAGGAGAAAGGAAAGAAAGAAAAGAGAGGAGGCACGTTATCAGATGCCATTATGTTCTTTTATATGTGCACAGGTGCACCGCTCGCATACATTACACGCGAAAATGTTTAACGAATTCAAAAATGGCGCCCCATTAAGAAGTCGCAGACCGCAATATCAGCCGTATCAGACAGATATGGAGTGAAAATATTGGATTGAGTCATAAATAACTCGCGGCGCAGATACGGCAAATATTAATCCTTTTTTTTTCTTCTGAACACACACACACACACAGCAGAAATCGATAAACCGCTTGCTGAAATGGAGCCGCGACTCCGTCAATAGTGAATACATTATATAGACGAGATTAGGCTCTGCTGTAAAATATTTTACATGCAAAAATTAATTTACAGGCGGAAAGAAAAAACGATTTGCGAACGTAAATTTCTCAATTACGACGTATCGCGCGGATAAACACAGCATGGGAAAATATTCCAGGATCGATCCGAAAAAGCACGGCCGACCGCTACTGCAAATTTTTTTTTTGTAATTTTTTCCCTTTTAACGCGTGCGAAGGTGCACTCCGGGCACAAACGTCGAGAATATTTAAGTAACGAAATCAAAAGTGAAAGCCTAACTGCGAAACGAACCGCGTATGAACACGGAACGAGAGCAATTTGGAAAAACACAACCGACTGCGACTGCATTTTTGCGTGCATACACACAGGTGCGCGTGCTCACACGCGTCCAAGCATTTATTGTAGCCCGCGGCGAATAAACGCGTACTGCTACCTACGTCATAAATATTGTATTTTGTTCTGTTTTTACACGCGCATCGCTCGATGCATGATAATAATCATTGCGATAGCATCGGCCCATCCAAAGCCCTTCTTCCGATTTAATCTTATATCGGTAATTATATTCTTGAGCAAATGTCGTAACCTAATATTTACACGGGAATGAAGTCATCGATAAGGCGCAAAGATTGCATCAAAATGAAAAGTTATCTCTAATGCAATAAATATTGATAAATTGTACATTCTCTCGTACCAAAGGACTTTTAGTAGAAATGTGAAATGAATACGTATCGCGTTACGCACGCACGATTTGACATATGATTTATTATTACTAAAATAATAATTATTCTGCATGTTTTATCTCGAGAGAGTATCATGTTGTAGGAACATTAGAAGAAGAACGCGCATTCTCTTTCTCTCTCTCCTTCCCTCTCCCTCGGGAATCAGGATTTCGGCCAGCTGGAACTATTCTAGATCACCGGTTCTATTTTCATAGGCGCTCGTGCTTTACGCGCATCCCACGTTCCCTCACTACGAATCTCGATGGCCGTGAAAAACTCGAAACGTCTTTTCTCGTCCCTGTGTTCGGTTGAATTCTCTCGGGAGACAAAAACGCTCTCTTCCCTCTGTTCATAACACGGAGCGTTGCGTGTACTTTTTTTTCTCGTGTTTACACGAATCAATATCTCTGGTCATATCTCGCGTGTGTAAATATTGAAAGGTAACATCTACGAGAAAAGAAAGCGTATACCTTATGAAATATCTCATATGCGAAATATTTTATTTCAACAGATTTTCGACGTAAGACACAAATAGCAAAAGCGAGATACAAATATAAGACACGATGTACAAGCAAGATATGCGACTACTAATCGCTATGAGCATCGCCCTTTTCGCGTATCGCGAACGTTGCCGGGAATATCATTTAATTTAATGAATTATAATTTCATCCGATGAATCTGATTAATTGCTTCTCGCTCGTGCGTACTCGTTCTCGAAGCGCGTTTTCCTTTCACGGACGACTCTTCGCTTTCCGCGCGAGAGTCGCGACTCCGTCCGCGTTTCATTAATCCACGAAATTATGCAATCCACAAGTCGCAAAACGATAAACGACCAACGCGTATTATTAGATTACGCCCCCCTGGGCCTCCTCTGAGCTTCGTGAGCAATGGAGAAATGGCATTTTAAACGTGGACCGATTTTTTATTCGAAACTTTGTCCGGCAGATTCTAATCGCGACGAATCGCCAAGGAATTTCCTTTAATTAACGCTACCGACTTAACAGCTTGATATACGTTTAATTAACCTATTTTCACCATTTGTCCGGTTTCTATTTTATAACCATAACAACTCTCCGTTGGGAACTCCCTCTCTCTCTCTCTCTCTAGTTCCTAACATTTTCAAAGCTCCATTACTTATGCACATAATGCATTAGAATATGCATTTAAATATATATTACATTTAAAAAAACGTTAACATATGCAGTCATATATATTATTACAATATTAAAAAGATATCAAATCATCTATCGGTAAAATTGAACCAGACGATTATAATAATTCATTAAAGTATTATGATAACGCAATACACATATGTGTCTGTAGTATTACAACAGTGAAAGCAATTGTCATAACAACACGTTAAAAGAGCGGACCCCATAAATTGAACGCTGCCCAAATTAAAATGGAAAACGCCGTTCCGATTCGAAACAGAGCGTTTGTTTCGACAGTCGCTCAGTGGCAATGTGATAAACCGCATAATAATGTCAATTTGCCTGACGACGACAACGAACAATGATAAAAAAAAATTCCGAATACTAATTCCAAAGCTTATTCCACGGTAATAATAGAGTGAGATACGCTGTTAATTGCAAAATTCCGCCGTGTCAAAATGGCCAACGCAATTCAGTCTCCTCCCCTTTGGAGACCGTTTACAGGAAAGATAGCGCGCGACCTCCCAGAAAATAATATAACAGAAAAATATCATAGTGAAGTAGTTGTAATTTTATTACTACGTTCGCGCGTTGCTTTATCGCAAATTTCAATATTCTTTATTTAAACAAAGTATGTCATGTATGTGTTCCATTTTTTTACTATATCCCATTAAACACCATATTTTGTTCGATTATTGTTAGCAAAATTTTTAATTTAAATAATTTTCAAGAAATTATTTCGAGTAGAATATTACTCCTGGCCGGAGTGAGATCTAAAATGTACAAAGTGTTCAAAGAGAAGAGTGTCAAGAGAGGGAAAGGGGAGGTCTAATTACTCTCCTAGAAACTATAACCGCGGGAAGAGAGAGAGAGGGGGGGAGGGGGAGAAGGAGAGGATGCTTAAAAAAGGCTTTCGTAATTAAAATATGAATAAACATGCGTTACTTGGCGCTTAAGACGACTTTTCCATGAATTATTTATCGCACCGTACCGTTTTCTTCTTCCGCGAATTAGCGATGCAACCCTGCATTTTGCGCGAGTACATGTAAAATTATTATTCGCGTTCGAAGTATGCATCGTCGTTGGCTTTATGACCGGAAAAATAAACCTTCCTGCTTCGAAATTCCGAACGGCATTATTGCTTTTGCGCTCGTAGCAGAGTTCGTAAAAACAAATCGACTCGATCACTTTTCCGGAAGCACATACTTCTGAGATTTAATTTCCGATCAGATTTCCGCGGAAATTATACAGAGTATTCTTTCGTAAATACAACCAGACGATGGTTTAGCATCTCGTACACAGTTTTCGACGAAGTTTTTGCTCCGCAAAAAGACGCCAATAGCCGCCAATAGTCAGACGTGTTGCATTCCAAATTATCAAAATTTTCCACGAAATATTATTAATTATGACAAACTTACTCTCTCGATAAGGCTCGTCGCGCAGTCAGACCAAGCCGCCGGTGGGTTCGAGGCAAAGGGAACAGCACACACAAATCTCACACTTGCGCGATCATCCTTTGGGTCACGGAAACTCTCCCGACGGTGACGACGACCGACGTCGCGACACCGCGAACAATCGCGAGGCGCGCGCGGGCGTAATGTCGTACGGTCGTCGATTCGATTTGAATCGCAACGAGACGAAACGCACGACCCGGTTTGTCGAGCGCGTCACGCGATCACGCAATGTACAACGATGTCGCGAGAGCGGGCGAAAACCTCCGAGGGGAGCACCACGTGGTCGTGCGGTTCTCGAGATAGACAGCCACGCACGTGCGACGGAATCCTGCTCGCGCGGCGACAGCTCGCTCCGTACTGCCGCGTGGAAATGCCGCGCGCGCGTTCTCGCCGCTCGCTTCACCCGGCAGCACGCCGTCGCTCCCACCGTCACCCTATCCTCCCTTCGCTCCGCACTTCGCAAGGTGTGTCGTATAGTCGTCCGAGAGAGATCATCCCGCAAGGGTGGGAACATTACGATGTCTTAATTGTTTTGTATTTATATTTTATTTACCATTGTTGAGTCTTGAGTGCGGCTTCACAGTTACATTCGGATTGATTGATTCGTTGGGACTTTTACAGACAAACTGCCGTGACTGTAAACATAAGCGTGAGCTTCAGATGAAGGACGAATGAGGATATTGGATTTAGGATTGTTTCAGAAGAAGATCAAAACGATGGTATATTTGATCGTAAACAAAAATAATTAAAATTTCGATTGAATAATAAAAAGGATTCCGACCAAAACTTCAGCTTATCATAATTTGCATGCGAAGGCACTAATATGTATGGAATTCGATCATTCTTCGCCAGGTGCGAAAAGTTCGCGACGTTTTAATTGTCTAGAATTTATGTATGTACCTTCAATGTTGATCTCTGTAACACGATTAATGTCGAATATCGAGTCGATCGATTCCATGTTGCGGTTTGCATCGAGCAAACAAAATTTCATTGTCCATCTATCTCCCTTCTCCCTCTCAGCTTTCAAAATCACCTCGTGTTTCACCATAAGGGTTTTTTCCAATGAACAATAAACATTAACTGGAAACAATTTTCCACGTTCGAAACATACTTATCCGAATGCGGAGAGAATGAAGAGAAGGACCAAGGAGAGACCGTTTTTCCCAATTACGTTTCACGACTGAACCTTACCGTTCTGCGAAATCCAGCCAGAGGAATGTTCGCAGCTCGTAAAAAAAAGGTATTAGGCAGCACATTTGCCGGTGAGTCGAATTTCCAATCACTTTGCCGTTTCAGAAACGCATTCGACAATGACAAATTACCGCGTTTGCTACGCGAACTTCACGTTATTTCAGATCCCATTTTTGTACATAGTGATGTGCCACGCAGATATAATATTCGTTCTATAGAATATTTATTTCCTCTATAATATTCCATAAATATGGCCGAACGTGTAATAAAAATTAAGGAATGGAAAAAGAGATCTGTCGAGGTAAAATTGTCAATTTTTTTGCTCGCGTTGTGGAAAGCTATGGAATATTTTCCATAATGTATAATTTAAAAAGATAAAATTGGCTTTACGTAATATTACGTGAAAATAATACTTCTGGCAATTTCAGTTATTTTCCCTTATTTTTTTCCAACAGAATGTAGCATTTTTTCTTACTTTTCTCGCAACGCGATGCCGAAACACACTTCATTAGCGTTTCTCTCGCAAATGTAACCTAAGGGAGTCAAGGCTACATGGGTTGTGCGGGGGAGCAAAGGTATCAGTATCGCGTGAAAATTTATGGCAAAGCGAGATATTATTATCGCAAAACGTGGAAATTGGTCCGCTAGGAAAAAAATGATAAAATCGTATCTGTTTTCGCGTAAATTTACGCGCTGACATTTGCGGCTCTTTTTTTCCTCCCCGTATCGCCCTCGTTTCGCTTCTCACAAATCTGTGACAACTTTTTTCCACAAATATTTATTACCCGCAACTCGATCATTTCTGTTTTTAATGTTTGCGGTATCTACTTGCAATGTCCATTTTCTAACCATTAAGTGTCATCCTTGCATGTTTTATCGCAAATGACATAGTAGTAATAAAGAGTTGGCCTTGTGCGTAAGAAGTTTTAAGACGAAACAGTTCATGGATCTGGTTCTATGATCACGGCACTGTAATATGAAAATTCGTGAAAAATTAAACAAAAAAGATATTAGATTAATCAAAAAGTTCATTAGATTTTTTTTGGCAGAATTTCTTTTAGATTTAATTTGAAACTTTAAATAGAAGTGGCCTTCGCCTCTGAAGAATATTAAAGTCTACATTTTTCTATGAAAAGAAAAATACTTTAAAAATACCAAATATTAGACTCCTTTAGGCATATCGAATGAACTACAATTATAATCGACACTGTAATTACAATTTACCTTTTAAATTTTTTTCATCTTTTTTTAGCCTATTGGACATTCAAGTTTTTGTGACTGTTAAAAATCTATTAGAACTCTATGCGTACTAATAGATTTTTAACAGTCACGTAGGCGTACGCTCTGTCGAAAAACTGACGAAATCGTAAAACAAAGAGAACAATTTTTTTAATTTAAAAGAAAATGTATTCAACTCGTATTTATCTAAACTTGTGTTTATTTTCATTATTTTTATAATTCTATTTGATGAAAAGTTCATTTACGAAAACATGTAAAAATGGCACGTACGCGAAATAAACGAAATTCTTTGAAAATAATTATTCGATAAATTAATTTCTTTACCGAGTGATAAGTAATCACTTCTCGCATAGTGTTTAACCCCTTGACATACAATGACGTCTGGGAGACGTCATTCATTTCATGTACCATTGTAGATTTTGACGTTTCCGAGACGTCAAGAACTGTCTCCGGCGGACGCCGTGCAGTATATTATTAGATTATTCAATTGTTTTACTTGTGCGTCGATTGTGCTGTTTTATTTAGAATGTTCAAGATGCTCCCTCCTTCTCAACAGTGCCGATAACAAAATCGCATCGGCAAACCAGTAAATCAAAAAGAAGTACATTGAAAGCAGTATTCAGTATAGCAATGATCTCGCACGGCGAATGCCATACTATATATTTGAATTTAGTAAAAATTAGAAATAATCCTTGTAACATGTCTGAGTTGAATGTATAGTATGAAAGTGACGATGAATGTCTAATGGGCTATTCTAGTGATGATAATGAGATTGAAAACAGTCATCAAAATGTTCATACTGTTGACTATTCAAGTGATGACACATCACATCACATTAACATTATATATCAATCTGATTAAATGTTATATAGCGATGCAAATTTCAAAATAAAAAGTTCTGTTTCTAAGCTTGCACATAACTGTTCATTGAGCAAAATTAAGTAGTATTTTTCGGACGCATCAAATTCCGTTTTATTTGTATGTGAAGGGATTAAGGTGGTTTTTGGGAGAAAGAATCTTTCATGCCGTTAGAAAATTCGATGGATGCGACGCGACGAGACAATAGTCGCGAAAATGTCGATTCACTGAACAAACAGCCGAATGACCGAATTTTCACCGCGATTTCCGGCGTATTTGCGCGGACTTATACACATACCAAGTACGTGATCGAGATTCCGCATTTTCCCCACGGTACATCTGAAATGTACGAAAAATTCCAAAGGTACTGAAGTAAGTCTATACATAAAGGACGCTGAAGCGGAGAGATTGTATTTATATAATAGCAATAGTTAACAAAATATGAATAAAATAAAAGGAAAATTTATATGGCAGTAATACTAATATTACTATTATATTATATCGTTTCTATCTTAATCGAGAGAAATACATGTGCGTATACGTATGTGTATGTATAGGCGCGCATTTTCAAAAGAAAAATATCTGTTATGATTATTTATATTTACCATATTATTTTATTTATATTTACCATAGTTCTTGTATTTACATTTATTTATGAGATGCATATACTGTTTTGATAAAAAATGTTCCATTCTTTCTTTCACATATTGGCTGCCAATATTTTAATAACGATTCGCGATACTTCGAAAAACGCGCAATAAAAAAAGAAAGGAATTTGTAAAATGAACTTATATACATCACGCTGCAAAAAAAAGGAGAAAAAACGAGATGATGAAACGAAGCGCCCAGATGTGTATTCTGCTTGAACAGGTTCGCAAATTATTTTCGCACGTTCCACTTGAAAAAATACGTTTTTCGGGAAGTTTGACTCGAAATATTGTTTTGCACGCCTCGCGGCAGTTCGTTAATTAAATATAAGCCGGTATGACGCAAAATATTATGTAAACTCTTGTTGAAACGTGTACAAACTTTTCCAATGGAATCGTTCTCTTCGCCAGCGACATAGATTATTTTCGAAATAAAGTGTAAACGTCGAATCTGCAATATGCAGCATGTTTTTACGTGTCAATATTAATTATGCTTCAGCATTATTTTCCATTTATGTGTGTGTATACTTTTGTAGCCGAGTCTCGAATTCAAATTTTGTAAGGTAAAGTGAGATTTAAATTAATAGAAGAATGTGAATTTTTAATATAAACCTGATATCGTAGCGTATTTACAAAGAATCCTATATTTTTAATTGTTAATTAAATTGTCAGTGCTTGAATGCTTTCGTCGAGGGGAAAAAGTAGCTCCAATTTAATCAAATTATCCTCTCGTGTACTAAAATTCCCTTGTACATATCGGAAGACACATCCCATATATACAGAGATTTGAAGATAGCGCCGGTCACCATGAGCAAACAGCATCCTCGTATCGTTTAAACGGAGCAACAACTCGGGGTCAAGGAGAAAAAATGACGTTCTCCCAAGCGTAGATCGGCGTATAGATCATCAGAAGAAGCCACTTCGAAAAAGTAGGACGAAAGGGCTCGGGTTCGAGCTCGATCCCTCGAAAGCGCGCAATCTCCAGATAAAAATCGCGAGCGGCCGTAAAAGCAGCATTAAATTCAAATTGCTCGTATCCACGGCGTGAAACTTTAAGAGACGCGGCCTCGTCGTCGTCGTCATCAAAAAGAACAGGGGGAAGAGAGAAGGAAAGAAAGAATAGAGAGGCGTCGTAAAGGCGCCGCGACGCAACGCGTATACTACATCGATGTACAGGATGCTTCAACCAGGAAGCTGATGGTTCTGCGTGAAAAGATAAACCGAGAACGTGGAATAAAATCTTTTTTGTACGAAGCTTTGTCTTCATTTTACCGCGAACAATTCATTCGCTGCAAAAGCGAATAAAAAAAGTGCTATTATTTAATTTAGTATATATATATATATATTCCGACAATACCGTGTATAAAAGAGAAAGAGAAAGAGTCTCTCGGAATGGTGAAAATGTTAAAGTACAATTCAACGTTGACTTTGAGATACGCTTATATAACCGAACTTACTCATGTGTGTTTATCGACACGAGCTTTGTCGGCGAACTTTTCTTTTGGTTCGGGTAATCGCTCGGTACGAAAGCCGAGTCGATTACGCTTATAAAAGAAATTTTATTTCCACTACAAAACCTGTACAAAACATTTGCTCTTTTTTTCTTTTTTATGAGAATGAATGTGGCTCTAAAATAACAGCAAAATTTATTTATTTTCCATATATGTAATAAGATACGTTATAACCGATATTCGTGGTGATTGACGTTGCACGAAATAATTGATAAAATCAGTCTCTCGTGTAACGAAATAAATGTTTATTAGTCGACGGAAAAAGAAAAAAAGACGCACAAGAGCCGAAATACGAGATAACCGGAGAGTGCTGACTTTACCGACTATTTTCTCCGGTAATACCGTCGGTCTTTGATACGTCGTCGATGTCCGAGATTAATTTTATTTGAAAGAAACTGAGATTTTATTGTGCAAATCAAAAAGGAATTTCTTGTATTTCTTGTATTTATCCCTACAGAATAAAAATACAATCTGATTGCTTTTCATTTTATGCAGCGTTTTTTATTTGGACTCTCAGGTCCAGATTACGCGTTTCTGTTTTCAACATTCCGAGTAAATCGCCTTGGAATCTAATATATCGCTCAATTGAAGTCCGCAAAAAAAACGTGTGACTTGGTGAGCAAAAGTCGCAACCTCTGCTTTATCGGTACTCACCGACTGTTCCTGCGGAGGATCGACAGCGCAGCGTCGTGGAACGCGAAGGTTTGAATTCCGAACTGCAACAGCTGCGAGGCGGCTCGCGACGGCATTACGCGCCCAACTTTCCTCCGTCGAGACGAGACGAAAGCGCAAAGAGCGCTTATTCGAACTTCGAACCTCCATTACGTGACGAACGCGCGACATTTTATCCAGCATCCACTGCGATCGAGGTTGTATGAGACAATCGCTTTCGGCGGTCTCTCAACGATATGACCTCGTTACGACCAACGTGTGAAACTCACCTTCCGGCAATCCCGACACGTCCGAGTCCGCACGCGAGACTCATCCTCGACGAGCCGAAATCGCGAGAGACGCGGAACAGCTCTCGAACTTCGAACCGACGCGCCGCCATTTCTTCCTTGAACTGACCGTCTCGCGACGGTTGCAATACTCAAAGTATCGAATGCGCGCGAATTTCACTCGGCACTCTCGCATCTTGTGTCCCTCATGATATTCGCTCGTGATGATTATTCAGCGATTGTTTCGCAATAATATACGCGCGAAGCTCGCTTTCGGTATGCCCGGCAACGACAATTCGAGCGCGGAACTCACCTTCGACGAGTCGAAATCGCGGGAGATACGAGACAGTTTCTCGAATACGCGACGCCATCCTTTCTATAACAAACTGAACGTAGCAGCGGTTGCGATTCTCGAAGTATCGAAGCGAACGACGCGTAGGCTTTCTCGTAGCGTTGATTGGTCCATTTGTTAATACTCGTGCGAAACTTCTGACGTCACATCATCGTGCTGGTTCGAAAAAAAGATAAGTGACAAGTCATATCGTGTCAGATTAGAGTATAAAGAAAGTAATTTTCAAACTTTTTAAACAGTTATTAATACAAGAATGTCTTGATGCGACTCGAATGCATCTCGAATAGAATTGGTACGGGTCTGCTTTTTAGTTCGTCGACGTGCTACAAGATGGAGAAGCAGTTGCGACAGTACTTCTCAACTGAACTCTTCGCTGTAATTTTGCACGATCGACGATCGAGAACCGAATGACGTTCGGGCGGACGAATCGATTTTAGAATACGAAATATGAGCTAGTGGGTAAATAAATAACTGCTAATTTAAACGATGCATACACGTGAGAAACGCAGAGATGGAAATGTCAAGCAGTGAAAGTACAAACGTGCAAACGGTGCATCTATAAAATGGAACTTTTCTACGTTATGTACGAATATATACGTGTGTACAGCAGTGTGCTCGCATAACCTCTCGAACTTAATTGACATAATCATGATGTATTGCGATAAGATACAAGCAACGACAACAACTTCAGAAAGCTTGAGGGATCTGTGATCTGCGGAAATGATTAAGGAACCCCATTATATAAGAAATTTATATAATACAATTGAATAATTACGCCGTGGTTTTTGTTGAAATATGTAACTCTATATAACGCTTGTAACAACTTCAACGTTTACAACGCTCATAATAACGTTCAAATACGTATGTATAATATTGTTAAGTTTCATAAAACTCTGCAAGAGAGAAAGAGAGAGCAAGTCTCATTTCATTTGGGAAACTTGACAGATCCTGTGATTCGCAGAGAGGCAATTACACAAAAGAGCTCTTTTATATATATATATATATATCGTGTATTACCTCAAATATATCGTCGTCTGCAATTAGTCAGTGTCTAGTTTCACACATCTAGTTCGTGGGATTCAACTGAACTCAAAATGGGATCCGAGCAGAGTTCACAGGGTGGCAATCAGAATACCAACAGTGGGAGAGCAAGGACAGGTCAGCTGAGACGAGGCAAGAGTGTACCGAATCGTGAACGGGTGCCCGAAGATACGCCGCCAAGGTGTACCAGTCCCGGTGCGAGCATCTGTTCCGATTCTGACCTACCGTACATCTCTTACACGGTCAACCGACCAATCGGGGACTCTCCAAAGATGACAAACAAGCAGTCGTCACAGCTCTATCGCAACAAGAGCCTTGGTGCAGCTGAGATCTCCAGGCGGAAAAACAGTCCGGGCACAAATCACGGGTAAGTTTCCGAGGGAAAATATACGTGTAAGATTCAGGCAGGCAACATTACAAGATCATGGTCTCGGTGTCCTTTGTTACAATTACAATACAAACATCTTGCTTGTGTTTCTGTCTCCACAGTCATAGGCAGAAGAGTTTGTCACAGCTGGACAAGACGCAGCACAGCATTGTGGTGGTGAAGGCTGCTCAGGCGGATCCAACGGCCGATAAAGACCCGGATCTGGTACGATTGCAGAGCATACCGATGTTCCTACCAATCATGAGAGGCACGCTGAACTTACCGCCGGGTGTACGCGACCCGGAGGTACTCGAACGCCTCGACCCCGTCGGCCTGTTCAATCTTTGCGCACGTTATCAGCATCATTTGAATACCAACGCGCAGACTGTGGCTGCCGAGCAGGCTGCTCTGTGCGCCAGTATGGAGACTGACCTCGCCAGGATGTTGAATCTGGCAGTAGAGCGGCAAAAGAGGTTCGCCAGGTTCGCCGAGCAGCTCCACAAGGTGCACGAACTCAGCCGTCAGCTCACCAGGTGCCACTCGCAACTCAATCAGACTCTCGAGAGCCTCGAGACGCTCAACAATCTGCTGCCAGTAGAGGAGAGATTGGAACCTTTCGTCTGGACCACGGGTTAGGGAAGAGAGAGAGAGAGAGAGAGAGAGAGAGAGAGAGAGAGAGAGAGAGAGAAGAAGAAGGGTCGGAATGCGAGGAACTCCCATAAGTGAATGGAATTTTCCCTTCGTGTTGTGTGTAAGATTGTTTCTTTTTTTATGAAAAGATATAATTTGTTTTTTATTGCGTTGTATATCCTTTTGTAAATCCTTTTACGATTATAAACTTTTTAGTTCGCGCCCTCTGTGATCGAGGATTAAACAAGTTTTGTTGTATTTCATTATTTTCTAAATTTGCATTATGAGACCGTTTTCTTCATTGTGGAGTTTATGACCAAAGATTAAAAGTCAATGATCAGTTTATATTTCTTGTTTTTTCTTCCTCTTTACCAAGAAATGTTAGAATATTTATCTCATTTCTCGTGAGGATAATTGTTAAGAAATGTATTTTATTGATTTCGTGATCAAACGTTGATCACAATCACTATATAAAGGTTGAGAGGAAGAAGAAGGAAAGAAACAGAAAACATTGACTATGACAATTTCTATCGTTCTGGCAAATTGTAGTTTCACGGAAGAAATTCTGATATCTGTGTGTTCACTGCGCAGAAATATCGTGTTATAACGAGAATATGTACTATATTATCTATTTTTGTGTTAGCCCGTGTAATAAAGACGAGGTTTATTACGAAAGCTAACATTAAATTGCGTGTAGGTGATAATTCATACGAGTAGTAATCCATGAAACAAAATGAGAATCCGAAACATAGGAAGCGCATAACCGGAACAAACAATATCCTCCTCAACGTACCCTAGTTGCTTTTGTCGGCTGATCGCTGAGACTTCAGCCGTCTGTACGCGGCGATAACTTCGTTCTGCTGCCTCTCCAATTTTCTCCTTTCCGCAATAGGTAACTTCTTCCTCTTCCCACTGCGATCAATCATCTTAGAAGCGGGAGCGACCTTCTTAGGTACTTCCAATAGTGAACTCAACAACAGGTTCTTCGGCTTCCTCTCTACGCTGGTGACATCCTTCGACTTAAACTTCAGCTTGGGAGGCTCGTGAGCCACTTCTCCAAAAGCCACCTTGTCCTGCAATCTTCCAAATTCGTCGTCATCATCCTTCTCCTCCAGTTTCCTCTCTCTCTTCAGACGCAACTTCAGCTTGCGCTTTTCTTTCTTTGTCAGAGTCCCCGCGCCTTGCGTCGTTGTTTTTTTCTTGCTTGTGTTCTTATGCTTGACACGTAATCTCTCTATATCGTCCTTGTCGACTTTGCGCTTCGTCAGACCCTGAATCTGACCAGTTTTTGAATTACGCTCCACTTGCACTCCGTACTTTTGCTCAAACGCCGTCTCCTTAAGAAACGCGTGTGTGTCCTTGGTCACCCGATGCCAGAATTGTTGTCCGGATTCTCCTGGTTTCTGTTGGAACACTGGCACAACCTTCTCCGGTCGAGCTTTCGGATGAGGTTCGGCCTTGCCCTGCTGCAAACCCACACAAATCAGCGAGTTCTTCTTCCTCTTCCGTTTCTTCGTCAGGGTGACGCCAATCTTAGCAGCTTCCTTCAATTTAATCATGTGCTCCAGACTCTTGGGGATCGCCTGCTCGTCCGCGTCCTTCGGTGGTGCATTCGTGCGCAATTCTAACCTAAAACACCCGCTCGGTTCGCTCAGAGCTCGGCTTTATTTCGATTTTCTCACTTGAAACGCATTCGGGAAAAAACAATGATTGTCCGTTAAGAGTCAATCGACGAGAGAGTGATCGGTAAATCCGATCCTCTTTCGAACCAGACGCGATATCCCAGCGGGAATGGAGCACCCGAACTCTTCTCTAGATTGAGGTTAGGCTGGCGATCGAAGATTGCCAAAACGAACCGAGCCGAAGAGAACGCGAAGAACAGCAGAGTCCGCTCATTATTTAACGTGTGAAGATAATCTCACTGACCGTAGCACGTTTGTTCATCGTCATCATCATCACGTTCGTTCGACGTTCGTTCGACATGCGCGCTCGTTTCACTGGACAGTTTGTGTTTTCCCGAACGCGGTCGTTTTTTCTCTTTTCACCGCCGAACAACTCACCCGGCCAGACGTTTGGCACGCTGCTTCTCGGGGTCCTTGACACCCCGGTGCTTCTTCGCCGGTATCTTGCGACCCATAATAACACGCGACACACGATCGTCTCGCGACTTGTTTAGCACTCGACACGTGACGCATTGTACGCACCGAACGCGCGCAACGGTCACGTGACTCCGCGCGATCAGCTGATTTTGACAGAAGCACAGGGTCCCTTATCCTTCCATAAACCCCCGTCGACAGTCTGACGCGAACTTGCGAATTTTTTGCCAATCAAAAAATCTGCGAGACATGCGATAATATATGTATATACGCACTAACATGTTAAATAACAAGATTATACATCTAAAATGTAAACAAATTAAAGTTAACAGAAATGCGATCGCTTTCTCATCCATATTCATGCGGACCCCCGAGGAGCTTTTGGAACGTCAAATATAGTACGTGAAATTTTGTTTTTTTACGTTGTTCTCGTTTCAAAAATATCAATATTGATTTTATTTACCATGTTAAAGAAAGAAATTTTATTTCGGATACAGCGAGCACAGCAATCGAATCTCTATTTTCAGATGCGACAATCCAACCGGCGGTTAATCTGAGACACCCCGTGTGTAAAGGCGAGTGGTGGGATGTTCGACGACTTGAATTCGGAGAAGCGACTTCTGCTCCTCAGTTTGCTCGCGTCCGAGCTTGCGTGAAGTCGTCTCGCGCGTTTTCGCCGCACGTTGCGCCTTCAAGAAGCATCCCTCTTACCTTCAACCCTCTATCTCTCCTGCCAGTCACCGTATCATCCACATCCTTTTTTCGCGTCGTGTAAGTTAGGTCGGTGTTCCTAGCGGAAAAACATTTCTGAGAGAGTGCTCATGCGGGACAGTGAGTGATAAGTGAGCGAGAGGTGATTTCCGGGGTTGGATCTATTTTTGAGGTGAATCTCTTGAGAATTTTCGTGGATGGATGATCATGACGACGAGATATTGGATGCTATTAATGTCGTGTTTGCTGATAATCGGCTGCATTCCAGGTTCGTTTCATTCGATTATCATCGCGTAAAATTAGAACGCATATTTTCGAATTATATTTGAATTAAATCAAACGCGTAACATACTTCTCTGCCTGTTAAAATTGCAACATAACGAGAAATTCTAGAAGCGGGGTGTCGTAACATTTATCCTATAAATTAATCACAATGGAGGAAAAAGAGGAGTGATCGCGACTCTCAAGCGGGAATGTCGTCGAAACTAAACTCACAATTCGCGTGCGTCGTTCCGTTTCGCGCTCATTTAATTTACGTCGTATCCTCCATGTTTTTCCTCGAATCACCCCGTATATTAGAAAACATAACCATGTGCACTATTTCTGTCCCTGTGCTTTTGCTCGCTTAATATAGCGGTTACGCTATGTTTTATGCTGCTCCGTTACCATTGCTTCACAGAGAGAACATTCGTTCGGTCATATATTAATGTTGCTTTTTATTCATATTATCACTTTATAATTAGATTACAGCAAGAAAAAATGCATCTTTAATGAAAAGTACATCTTCGATTAGTCAAATGAAGATGCGATATTTCCGCGCGTTAATTCCTAATATTCTGGATTCGCTTAAGTTAATAAAATTAATATATATATTATTATTGTTTATTATTTATGACTCAATCGAGCGAGTGTGCGCACGCGATGATACTAAAGCTTCAGTAGAGGCAACCTTGCTAAAGACACATGCGCGATGCGAGAAAATTATGTGACATTCGCGGGTTCGCTATGACCTGTCCCAAATTTTATACAACGTGTACGACATGTGTTAACCAGATCAGTTTTTGGGTATACGCGCACGACCCGGTATATTTATAGATCGCAGATGATCCTCTTTAAGGTCATCCATAGCCGTCTTCCGATATCAGGTCACCCGATATTTCTTTCTTTATAGTTATTAGTGTGTATCATTAGAAATTCTTTCTTTATTTTTCTTTAAATATACGCACAAGTTTTTATACGCACACCTACATGACGCGTATACGTAAGGTTTTAAATAGTTATCATGTTAAGTCCCAATATTAAAGTTCGGAAACGCTTTATTTTACCGCCAACTTTTAAATAATGAATATGCAATTAATAATAAGACACCGCGCGAGTTTTTTCGCTGGGTTTGAGCCGGCTTTCCCGAACGTTAACGCGAAAACGCGCGAACTTTGATCCGAGAGGCGAAAATGCATGCAGTTCTAAGTATGCGTGTAAATCTCAAGAGAGGGAGAGAGAGAGAGAACTGAGAGAGAGAAAGAGTAAGAGAGGCTGCACTTCGCATGCACACATTTCTAAAAGCAAATAACCAAGGAAAAACGCGGAACCGGTGACCCACTTCGGACTACCTTTGTAGCTCAAAGCCTTCAAAAACGCAGCTTCAAACGCATTTGAGGTTTTTTACCCTTTCTGCTTTTCTAAAGTATTCGTGCAGTGTGTGCGGCAGAAATATTTGAGATATACGTTTACACGCGGGATTTTCCCGAAGAAAGTAAACATACTTTTATGAAAATAATTTTATGAAAATAATTAAATAACGATGAAATAAATCGTATTTCAAAACGATTCAAACGATAATATATTTATCTTACAAAAGTAATAATTTATATATTACACCTTGTATCGTGTATGCTTCAGTATTTGATATATTAACATTTATTGCCAGAACTTGTACTAAAATTTAAATGTCCAAGTTACCTGGAATTTAATGTAATTTTGACGCAGAAATTTTATCAACAATCGGACCTTTGATCTAACTGCTTTCAACTTTTTTTGACAGAGTCACAGCAGCTCGTTATAAAGAGTGTCCAAGTGCCAGCCATGGTCAAAGTCGGTGAGGTTGATTATGTGATCCTCGACTGCGATTACGAGTTACAGAACACGTCGGCGCACGGGCTGGTGGTCAAGTGGTTCTTCGAGAGCGACAAGTTGGTGTATCAGTGGATTCACGGACTAGATCCTTTGGCCGCCGAGCCGGCTGAAAAGTACGTCGATCTTACTTACAGAGCCAGCGACGATCCTTACACTGAATATCGAGCGATGAAACTGAACAAGCCAGGAATTGATCTCACCGGTGAATACACATGCGTGATATCAACTTTCGAAGACGAGAAGACGGAAAATGCCACCATGGTGATTTATGGTGAGTGACGGGTAATTTCGTAATATTTCGTAATTAATTTCCTTAATTATAATTTCCTTAGTTTCTCTTTTCGATTGCACCGTCAATTACGGAATACATACTCTCTCTGTCTGTGTACATTGGTATCATTTATACGTTTAATTAAATTGCATCAGTTGAAGCGTATATCAAATATGTACATTATTCTTGTGGCAGCAACGGGGGAAATTTTCAACTTTAACTATACGAGGAAGACTATAAAGGACGACAAAGACGGCCTGGAAGCGACGTGCATGGCCAAGGGACTTTATCCGCTGCCGACTCTCGATATCTCGGTCGTGTGAGTAAGCTTTCTTTACGACGCCATCAAAAGATTTCGAGACATTATCATTTTCTTTTGTTTTTGTCGTACGTAACGATAGATTGTGATCTTGTTGTATCAACAAAATAAGTGATAATATATTTAACGAACAAAAAGCGACATTTTTCAAATAATAATGTTAATAATAAATACTTCACAAATAATTCACAGAGATGTCGCCAAAAAGCGACATTTTTCAAATAATAATGTTAATAATAAATACTTCACAAATAATTCACAGAGATGTTCCAGATAAGCAAGCAACGAAGCCCATAGTGACACAGCGGGAAGATGGACTCTACGATATCCTGTCGCGGATAGAATTATTGGACGAGGAGTTACCGGAAGCAACTGCGACCCTCGAGTGCATCCTTGGCATCCCCAGAGCAAACTACAGAGTGTCCCGAATGACCGACTACAACTCGGGTTAGCATTTGTGCTACTTTACGCTCTAACATATCGCATTAATGTATTAATCCTTAACGATCCTTAACAAATTCTCGAATTAATTAATTACCGTAAAGTAATCTTCCGCGAATTTTCCCAACGCGACGAAATTTCGTTAGCAGCCGCTTTAAAAGGTTCATGCTTCACTAATAACCTAATTGATTTTTGCGCTTAAGTAGGAGCGTCTACGCTTTATTGACAGGATGCGATATGTGGTGTTTGTTGTGCAGGAACGGCTACAACCACTTCCGCTACAGCGATTTCGCAGCATGAAATGGATGTTCAGGCCTTAGACAACTCGAATCACGGTGGCGGTAAGATTAAAGAGATTGCGAATTTTTCACATAAGTTTAACACATCGTTATCATCAGCCACCATTTTACGCAATCATACGCCCCGAGAGTTTTTCTTCAAACAAAACTCACACGCTCGTTTCGTATTTACTTCGTCCGAGAAATAATGTCAAAAGATACTTTACTCATTTGCTTATTAACATTGTATTAATTTCTCGAACTGTCGCGTTAATGATTTTAAAATAGGATTTGGATGTTCATCATTTCGCATGCCTGCTTTGCTTGAGAAAACGTAACATTAACGATATGTAATATAACGAAAAAAATTGTAGATATAAAATTTGTGAATATTAAATTTAAGAATACCATATATATATATGGTATTCTTAAATTTAATATTACCATATATATATATATATGGTATTCTTAAATTTAATATATATATATATATATATAATACATTAAATTAATAAATAGAAAAGTCACATATGATAATATATATTAACATGTATCTTAACTCACGTGTATGTTTGTGAAACATCAATTCATAAAATATTTATATATCAATAATATATAGAATAATGTATATTCCTCTTCATTTCTCTGTGTCTAACATATACCTTAATCTGGTTGTAGGTAACTTCATTGATCACACGTCCGTCGATTTTCTCCTGTTGCTGATACATCTGTTTCTTTTCATCCTATCTCATTAATAATTAATATACGTTTGATAGGTAAGATTGGACGGCTGATTGTGCTCGATCATTGGTGTCTCAACTTGGTTTTCAAGAAAAGCCAACTTTAATTCGTGAATAGCTTGTTCTTGCTCGATCGTGTTTTTTTTTTTCAAAAACAATTACAGCTCTTCTGTTACAGAGTTCTTTGTAATTCTAAAAAATCTCGAAATACAATTAAAATCACATCGTGGAATCTCTCTATTCGGCCTATATTAAATAATAATACTTTTTATAATCAACGAGTCGTACATATATAGGATAACGAGAGGGAAGAGGAAATAGAACGATGTATATAAATGTGTACAGGACATTCTTGTTGCACTATTGGTATCTAAAACGCGACGTTATTTTATATTGGACGCGGTAGTTAGATCATGTAAATAATATTTAGATATATTAAACGGATTGTATTCACGTGTATATATACATGTATGCCAATCGATTAATGTTGAAATATTAATATTGGATATTATGACAAAGATACAATGAAAGCGCGTATCAATACTCGTTATATTATAAAATATGAGGAAGTAAAAAGTCTTCGACATCGAATTTTCCTTTGTCTACAATTTATATTTTTTTCTTCTAAATTATTATTTAAATTATCTTTATTAAAATTAATCAGTTCGACTATTCTTTGAATCAACGCAATCAATGCAATTTGTTGATATTACAATTAATTAATTTATGAATTACAAATGTTATATTAATGATTTGTTATCCTACAAATTATCTTACATAAGTTATCAGCTATCTTAATTTCCTCAAATATCTCAGTTGGTGCGACAATATCCGCATACGCCCTGTGTACAAAAGCATTCCGTTCATTTCGGAGTGCGTAGAAATGGCTCGTGCAGCGCTTTATAAAGTTTCTGAGCTTTATGCAGACCGAATCCCGGGCACAGAGCCAAATTATTCGGTTGCGCTCTCACTATACTGTCCAAGGTGCTGAATGTTGATAGTAAAGTGGTCGCATCCGTTTTGTTAACAGATCTTACTGTGGTTAAAGCATTAACTAACTGGAATAAATATTAACTTACGTTCATTAGAATATGAATAAAAATATATAAAGTTCTATTAAAAGTAATATGTTATCGAAAACATTATGAGTAAAACATTAAGGGCATTTATTTCTTTTAGATATAATACATTCTTTTATACTACAATATTGTGCTAAAACATTTTCATTAAAATTACCGTAATAAATATTTGAACAATGAAATTGTAAAATGAGTTAGCAGTTAAAATAATTCGAATCTTTTACCTTCTGATGAGGTGCGCTATCGCTGCGTTCCATGATGTCGTCGGGCGATTTAACTTCATATCTTTTGTATGTTTCGATAATCTTCCCCGCATCTTCCACGTTCCACGCCAACATTATCGTCATATCAGCGAGAATAGATATCCTTGTTAAATGTTTCAAGACGTGATGAGGATCGGCAATGTCTACCTGATTATAATAAACATTGTGAAGAATGTAGAGGAAAAAATAAATAAGGATGAGAAAATGAAATGTAATACGCATTTCTGTATCATTATTTTTATTTACTTAGACACTATTCATTATTCATTTACACTAACTTGTATTTATACAAAAATTGTAAAAATATATTGTAAACTAAAAATATATTTAGAGACTGTTGAGTATATTATTAAGTGAAATTTATATATATATATATATACATACATAGTAAATAAGTATATTACTTATATAAAGATATAATTATTCTTATAGTATAAAATATATTTACCTGTACTAAGAGCACTCGTAGATTATAAGCATTACCCAGCTGCTTGAGTCTTTCATGGATATAATCAGGATTCAACTGATGATAACGAATTGATAGAAAAAGTGCACAAGTGGTTCTTCCCATGACATAGTCTGGCACAATATTGGAAAACTCCCATTTTTCATTGGTTATAAATTTTAACAACGGATTTCCTTTCTAGAAATATGATCAATGGATTAAAAAAATATTTTTAGGTATTATTTTTAATTTTCAATAATCTTTACAATTCTAGTAATGAGAAATTCTCTTTCTAAAAGTGTTACTGGCTGTAATCAAATAGATTTGGAAAATATTTAAAACATGATAAGATGTCGTTACCTGTTTTGGACTAACAAGAATAGCATTGGTTCTACCGGAGGTTGTTGCATTCGAAGTTTCAGATGTAGAATTTAAGGATGGTTCCTTAAAAAATTCAGATTTCTTCAAATTGCTGAAAGCAGCTAGAGAAAAGAGAACGCAAAATTATACAAAATATAAGACAAAAATAATATACAAGGACTATCTATGTAAAATTTCACTTATAATTAGAGAAAAAAATTTACGATTTCTTCGATTTAATATATCTTTGATTGATATAATTTAATAAATATGATATAATGTATACTCACATTGGAAAGATGTATCTTTTATTCGTTTCGGTGGAGAAGCATCGTTCTTTTCCTCTGAATTCTCCTCAGTGTTATTCATAATTTCTATCGTTCTTTCACTCTTCTCCTCTCACTTTTTCGGATGAATAATGAAATTTTTGTATGAAACAGAAACGTTACACAATTATTAATAGAAAAAATTGATCCGCTATTGAGTCGTATATTTGACAATAAATAACTGTTAAACCATCGTAAAGCCACAACCTAACCTCATAATTATTCTATTAATTTGTAGGTTATTACTCATGTTCGATAATTCAGAAAATTGAGGATGCAATTGTTTGAATCTATACCGTACTTATCGACGTACGATGATAACTGATATTTATTGACAGCTGCTAACAACACAGTACCGCCATTACACGCGATGTCACGCCTTGTCCTTTTACGTCACATGTGAATATCCATAAAAGAAGCTGTGTGCAGTTCTGCGATATCGCACACCATCGCACATCCAATTATATTCAATCGTAGAGCACAACGCGCTAAATGCCCCGCGTCTAATTGAAACGAGAAATCTCTGAAGCAGTTTCCTCTAATAGCTTTAATCTCTCGCTAATTGCCCGTATAATCGAATATTCTGAAGAACTATTGTTTTACTCCGATTTTAAGAATACCGGCAAGTGTGACAGCACAATACTTGAGGTTATGAAAATTTAAAAAGCTACAAGATTCTATCAAGTGTATCGGACGGTTCCACTCGTGAATCTTTTCATGAAAATAGAAAGCGTTACAATATAATTGTTACAAGCAATGACTACATTAGGTGGCTTTATGGAATTCTTTCAAAAAGGAAAGGTAAGAATTGTACATGGTTCATATTTTGTGAACAATGTTAGATTGTAAGATATAGGCTACTTGAAATAAGTTCTTGTAATATCGGAATAATGTATGTTAATTTTCATACATGCTATGGTTGCAGACATTTCGACCAAAGAAAAAGTTTGCCCATGGAACATTACGTTATTCTTTGCATAAGCAAGCTCAGGCTTCTCTCAATTCTGGTATCAATTTAAGATCTGTGGTAAAACTACCTCCTGGAGAAGATTTGAATGACTGGATTGCTGTTCATGGTATATATATATATATATAACATATAATAGTGATGTAAAAATTTTGCATATGACATTATCTTACAAGGATAATATTAATCATATTTACTTTATTTTTTAGTTGTAGATTTTTTTAACAGAATAAATCTTATATATGGCACAGTATCTGAATATTGTGATTCAGCATCTTGCCCAACAATGAGTGGTGGTGCACGTTTTGAATATCTGTGGGCAGATGGTGAAAAATATAAAAAACCAACAGTACTACCAGCACCACAATATGTTACTCTTCTTATGGATTGGATTGAAGCTCAAATTAATAATGAGACAGTTTTTCCAGTATCAACAGGTCACTGCACTGTTTAGCATCGCATACTTTTATTATACACTCAGATATGTATATATATAAAACATTTGGTATTACAGATGTGCCATTTCCTAAAACATTTGTACCGCTATGTAGAAAAATCTTGACACGCCTGTTCAGAGTTTTTGTCCATGTGTATATACATCATTTTGATCGCATTGTAGCAATAGGAGCAGTGAGTATATTTACCGCTTCAAATATTCTATTTTTACCATATTGTAAAGATTGACTGATTGGACATACTATTTATTTCAGGAAGCACACGTTAACACATGTTACAAGCATTTCTATTATTTTGTAAGAGAATTCGATTTGATCAACATTAAGGAATTAGAACCACTAGCTGAAATGACCGCTAAAGTTTGTAAGGATACTGCTTCTCCTACCCAAAGCACAGCACCATCAAATAATCAAGCCAGGTAGTTATTTTACAATCTCATTTAATTAAATTAACAATTACTGTGTACGGTAAAAAGATAGCATTTTTGCTAGAAGATAAAATTACTTTGTACACAGTTACAGAACATAGCTTGCGAAATTTGTCGAATTATATATCATACTCGACAGTCATTTACTTCACAGATATTAATAACATTTAAAAAACATGATCTGTCTTAATATACTGTTTTATTATTATTGCTTGATAATAGCAATTAGTCTTTTATACCAACTTTTTACTTCAATTGTGTGGAGTTTACGTATCAGGATTTATTTGTGCATTATATTACCATATCGGTACGCATTGTACTTTATTCATCTTTACATTGCTCTCTATCTTTCATTGAAAATAACATATATTCAAAGCAATATATATAGATTCTTATCTTGAGATATTTCTATTCTCATTTAAATTTTAAGCTTCAAGCAAAATACGTATATAAGATATATATACATATATATTACTTTTATGAAATTTATATCCTGATATATTGTAATGTGCTTAAAAGATAATCATAAGTGCAATATCTAA